GTGCTGATGTTCGCACAATCAAACCATCTGTTATTAGATATGACACACTCACTCCACCACCTGCTGATGTTCATGCCTTTGCTGTTCTGTCCACCCATTGCAGTGAAATAATTGGACCGTATCATGGTGAGGTTCAGAACCACTGGGGTTCTCCATGTCTCAGAGAAGCAGACAAGGTTCAGATCTCTGATGTTCTGCTGGAACTTTACTCTGGACACAGATGATCCAGTTTGATGTCCAGAAACTGGTGAACCAGTAACCACCATCCACTGGGAACTAGATGATGGTGTGTTTGTTCACTGGTTCTGGTTCTGACTCCAGCAGGTTATCCTGTCTTTGCTTTGTCACCATATGTGTCCTCCTGCTTTATTCTTTGAAGTGAGGTGTATCTCTGGAGGCCATCTGGAGTCTACAGACTTTCCAGGAATTGTTGACTAGATGGTTCTAGAAGGTCCAAAAGAGTCAATGTTCTGGAAGTAGTTAGAACTAAAGTGTTTGATTGGAAAAGTGAACTTAAGAGGCACAGATCTATTACCTGAATATTTCCAGAGTTGAGTCGGAACTAGACAGAAACTTCTGCCCTGAATCTTGGAGGTTGTTGTTCTGCAGGTCAACCTCTCTCAGACAGCAGGACTTGGACCTCAGAACTGATGACAGAACATCACAAGTTCTCCCTGAGAGATTACAGGATCTAAGGCTAAGAGACAAAATGAAACAAGTCAAAGAGGTGGGTAGCACCGCTGCCTTGCAGTAAGAAGGTTCAAGGTTCAATTCCTAGGCCCAGGGTTTTCTGTATGGAGTTTGCATTTTCAGGCTGAGCATTCATGGGTTCTCTCCAGGTATTTGGGCTTTCTCCTTCCAGTCCAAAAACATGATTGTTAGGTTAATTGGCTTCTCTAAATTATCCGAGTAGCTTCCTAGCCTGTAATACTTTTTATTGGGTGGTTGTAGCTAGGTTGGTGGACTAGCAGTCTTGTAATTAGAAGGTTTGAGTTCTATTCCAGCTTTCGCTTTTGTTGTGTCATTATTTCCTTTGGGTAATGCACTAAACTCCATGTTTTAATCAGTCTGAATATTGATGAGTCAAAGTGTGATCATTAGCAAGACTGATGGGATGAATGCAACAAAGATTAAAACACCTTTAGAGCTAAGTATGACTTGGAAAGAGCTTCATAAATTTAGTCCTTTAACTGTTAATGTTATGTTCAACTGATAAAAAAGGGTTGCATTAAAAATGTTCCCATGCTCATTAAGTTTATCACATAAAAATTCAACATTATCCTAGTAGGCCTCAAATGTGGGCTTCTCATTGGACAGTGCGTAACACTGCTGCCTTGCAGCAAATCCCACCCCAGGGTCTTTCTGCATGGAGTTCATATCTTTCTCCCACAGTCCAAAAACATGACTGTTTGTTAATTGGCTTCTTTAAATTCTCCGTAGGTGTGAGTGTGTCTGTAAAAGGTTATTTTTATCCTGTTTGGCTCTATCTACCCTGCAATAGACTGGCGACCTGTCCATTCAACGATATACCCTGCCTCTTGCCCTTGGACAACTGGAGATAGGTCCCAGCAACCCTCGCATGACGGATGGATGGATAGGCCTCAAATGTATTCTTGACAGATGTTCATACCTTAGAGTTTCCAGTTTGCAGTTTGGACTCTTCAGTCCAGAAAACAGCAGCTTCACTCCAGAATCCTGCAGCTTGTTGTTGCTCA